ACTCTCACAACTTAAAACATGTGACGCTAAGTTCATCACTGCCCCCAACCTGCACCTTCTCTGGTTGCCGTATCTCAGTGACTGACACTAAAATCCTAGACTCACGACTCCTCTAGCCTTCCTGATCCCCCCATTAAGTCTTGCTCATTCTATTTCCTAAAAATTTCTTGCCTCCGACAACTTCTCCACATCACCAATGTATCTTCACCTCCACCATCTCCACCACCGGTCTGGGTCTGGGCCACCATTTCTGGCCTGGACCATAGTACAGTCTGCTGGTTGGTGTCTCTGCCTTCAAGGTTAACCCCTTCAGTCCTTGCATTATTCTGAAACACAGATCCTGCCCTGTCATGCCCCTCCTTAAACATGCGAGGGTCTCCCCACCATTCCTAGGATCATAAACTCCTCAGCAACTTAGCTGAGCATTCAGGGCTCCTCAGGGTTTTCTCAGGTCACTACTGACCTCCCCAGCTTCATCCTTTGCCACTCCCCTGCCTCTTATTCTTCACTACCCCCCTGCTAGACTGAAATTTTTTGAATACTCCACATTTCCCCTTCAGAAATGTGCCCATGCTCCTCTATGGTGAGACCATTTCCCCTCAACCCCAACTTGCTGGCTATTTCCATCCTACATATCCCTCAGACTCTGCTTAACTTTGTCCTCCCAGGAACCCTTTTCTGATCTTCAGACTGAACAAAGTGCCTTTTCTGTGCATCTTTTCTCATAACACTGTTCACACCACACTGCTTACACGTCTGTCTGAGTGCCTTGAGAGCAGGGAGTCACTCTGTGCAGCCAGTCAACCCAGCATGGCCCATGTGCGCCTAGCTCACATAAGGTGTCTGTGGGTTTGCTGAATGAAGGAATGCACAGATAAGTGGTCCTCCAAGAGTCCTTGGGCCCCTCCCCCTTGAGGGTGGCCCCAGCCTAGGCCCTGCTTCCTGTCCTCTACTACTCAATTACCAGGCAAGCACAGGAACTGGAGTATGTCAGCCCCAGGTGGTTAGCCGGTAACTGGAGTGTGTTGGCCCCAGGTGGTTACCCAGTGTGAGCTCTCACTGGGTGTTCTAAGTGATCTGAGCCACCCTTCCACTAGCAGCTCTTGGGCCCAGCCAACAAGCTTATCCTTTGTTAGAGGCTAGCCTCACTCACTTCTCTGAGGGATGTATGCAGCTGCACCCCTCCCATTATGGTCTTGGCAATATAAAAACATTTCCAACATTAAATATTAATGCCAAGAAAGAGAATCATCTTGTCACAAGTTGATGATCCTGAAGGAATATAAAAACAGGTTAGTTAGTCTTCTAGAACTTGGAGGTGAGGAAGACCTACTTTTCCAGGCCTCCATTGTAGGCACAAGACTGTGCGTTGTAACAGCTCATATGCTGTAACAGCTTCCGGCTGGCCTCGTTAGCTCAGTGAGAGGTACCAGTAGGGCTCTGACCCGGGTGGCCCTAGGGCTGTAAGCAGAGGACTTTCTGCAAGGCTGTGTTGTCTCCATGCTCACCCTGCTGCTGTCTCTGAACTGATGGCCTATTGAAAACCCCAGATTTGTCTCTGTGCTTCTTCTGCCCAGTTTACTTATTTTCTTGCTGTGTCATTGGCTTTTTAAACTGATGAGTAGGTTACACTGACTGTCATGAAGCCTTCGGTAGCTGGAAAAAGAGCCTGGGCTAGAAGCCCGTAACTGCCATACCACTGATTTGCTAGGTAAACTGAAACAAATGTCTTCCCTGATCTGGGTCTCTCTCTCTCTGCATTTGTAGTGAGCCAGTTGCAACAAGTTAGACTCCAGAATCTCCAGTCAGCAGGATTGTAGTCAGGGTTTGTGGAGTGAAAGGCCATTGGTTTCAAGTGCACTGGCCCCTGTGTCATCTATGCCAGAGATTGTACAGTATACACTTTATCACCATTGGGTCTTCCATAAAAGTAGGATCCCTGCCTTCCTTAAAGAAAAGAAGAGGTATTCCAGACATAAGGCATGTGCAAAGACATGTGGGTCATCGCCTGTTCAGTCCCCACAATAACGCAGAGGCAGTGCCCATCACTGCCCCTAGTGGAGGAAACTGTAGTTCAAAGAAACTAAGCACTGGCTGCAGGGTATGCAGACAGTGGGCAAAGTTAAGACCAGAAAGTGGTCTCTGACTCCAAAACCTATCTGACATTTTCAGAAAACAGTATATGTTTCCTTGAGGTTGGAATATGGGGAGTGGAGGTCAAAAGTGGCAGAGGTGAGGCCAGAGAAAGCAGGTCTCCGTTCTTGCAGGGCCTTTACCTTAAAGTCATATGCATGAGTGTACACAAAAAAGACATGATCAGGTTTGTGTAAGAAAGATCACTCTGGCTATATGGGAATGGATTTCAGGGAGAAAAAAGACAAGCTGGTGTACTAGCCCGAGGTGACGGTCTGGATTGGGGCAGGGCTGCCGGAATTAAGGAAGGAGATAATTACAGAATAAGAAGATAAATTCTGTTATTAATTTGGGGAGTAAGGGAGAGGGCAAGGTGTCAAGCCTGATTCTCAGGTTTCTTTGGACATTTTGGGGGTGCCCTTCACTAGGATAGAGAACACAGAGTGAAGAAGCTTGGGAGAATTCATTCATTACTTAGCATTTTGAGTTAGCATGTGTCCATCTAGAAAGAGATGTTCTCGAGGCATTTGGATTTGTGGTCTGAAGCACAGTAGAGGTCCAGGCTGGAGATGGCAATCTGCAGGGGAAGTGCAGGCTCAGGATGTGGATGAAGCCATCCACTGTGGCAAGTTGGAACAGGTCAAGGCCAGAGACTGAGGCACATGGACCATCTCCCAACTTAGGGCTGGGCCCAGGTGGAAGGTCAGTGCTTGCCCACTGGATGGCTGGTGGCCTGAGGGGAGGGGCTAGGCACATTCACTTGGGCCAGGGGAGGCAGATTGAGCGATTTGTCCAGCGATGAGGGAGGAGCCAGATGAAGTCAATAGAAAACTAATTTTCTTTTCTGCTGGAAGAAATGAGGTGTGTGGCCGCTGGGTAATTGCAGATAACGAGGGGACTTACTCTTAATATGCACAGTGGCCATGGTCCCCAGAGTGCAGGAGGCAGGAAGGATTGGAGGTGCCTTGGCAGGGCCAGACTTATTTAGGAAGAAAATCACCCTATCGTAGCCCTTTTGACAGTGCCATCACATCTCCTGGACCCTGTCATAAACCCTCCCCAATCCCGGGTCCTTCCTGTCCCATCCCCACCCGTCCTACACAGCTCTTCTTACCCCATTCCCCTTACTGTCAACCGCCTAGCTCCTTGTCACAGCCCCCTCCCTCCACCCTCTACCCATGCGGCACAGGCACACACACTAAGGGAGACAAATGATGGGGCCTCAGCTGAGCAGGGTGCGTGTCCAGCCCATAAACCACAGGGATGGGTCATGTCTGGAGTTGCCATGGCCGCCACCACCCACCCATCTGTCTTCCCACTGTTCTGCTTCGGACCGGATCTCATAGCTTCCTGAGCCCCTGAAAGAACAAGGTGTCCCTGGTGTCTGGGTCCTGGGTCACCTCTCCATGCCACATCCACTATGGGTACTTTCATATTGGGCTCTGCCAGACAGGGCCCTCTGTGACTTGTCTGCCCTAAGCAGTATCTGCAGAATCAGGATCTGGCTAATGATACAAGCCCTGGGCTGACGAAATTCCTCCTGCTCCTGCAGTCCTCTTCTAGCCCTGCTGGGTCTCCTCTCCTAGTCTAGGGTCCTGGCAAGGGCATGCTCTGGGGCACAGTGGATGGAAGGCGTTGGTCCTTGACAGCTTCAGAAGCCTCCTGACCCCACCTTGCCCTTAACAACCCCCACCTGATTACGACATCAATGAACAACACTTCTGTAGTCATAGCATCGATCGCATGAGGGCTGGTGGCAGCTGAGGTCCCAGTTATATGGCCCAGGAGTGTCTGGAAGGTGGCAGAGGGCTGGGAGGAGAGGCAAGTGAAGGGATGGGGAGCTGGTGGCAGTGTAACAGAAAAACCCAGGCGCCTGAGCCATTGCTGCCCTAGGCTTACTATATATAAGACAAGCTCTGGGCAGCTGCATCTCCTGCTGCTGGTGGTGGGACAAATCCTGGCCACATCCACTATACTGAGCCCTGAGCACCTATGGGCATCCCTGCAGCCACCAGCATTCTAGGACAGTTGAGCACGGAGTTTCTCATGGTGACCAATCCCCAGAAACTGCTGTGACAGGGTCTGCAGGTGCAGACACATTTAACCTGCCAGAGACAGGGCTGCAGCCTGACCAACGCCAGCATTGAACCTCCTGGGTGGGAGAGGCACACAGGCATGCCTACTGGAAGGCTGCAGGCCAGACTGCTAGAGGACCACAAACCTGGGCCCTGGCCAGCGGGCTGGGGTAGCATGGGAGCACCTGCCCAGGCAGACAAGCCTGTGGCCCAGGGCAGGTGTTTCCCAGGGCCCGGCCTGGAAGTGCTGGGGCTTGTGCCTGTCACTGGTGATTATGGTCTAGGCCACATCTCCACACACACGCAAATGCCGGCAAAGTCACCCTGGCCGTGGGCGTGATGAATGGCCGCACAGTAATGAAATGGAGACATCAAGGCGGGTGGCGGGAAGACGGAGTGTGGCGGACGGGCCGTCCCCACGCGGCGGCAACAAGAAGGATCGCCCAGCGGCTGGGGGCCGTCAAGGGAGAAATTACACATTTACTCTGCCTTTTTCTTACTGCGACGGCGGCCATACATCACTGCTGGGGCCGGGGCGGGACATGCCGGCCAATTTCCAGCATGAATTATGGGACTGAGCAACATTGAGACCAGGCTTCCTGCTGGCCCAGCATCACCCAGCCTAACCAGAAGGTGGAGATGCTGCCACCCTGGTGGGGATGGGACCTTGGTTTAGAGTTCGTGGCTCCTGAGTCTTACCTGGCTTCCCACCCCTCACCCATGTAAGAGCACCATGGACGCTGAGGGGAAGGAGCAGGGGCTGATTTTAATGTCTTCTCTTACTCTTTTTAGATGACTGCAAGAACATTGCCAACATCATGAAGACACTCGCATATCGAGGCTTCATCTTCAAGCAGACATCGAAGCCGTTCTGATTGGCCGAGGATGGGATGGGGCAGGACAGGGTAGCTGCTTGGCCCAGCCCAGAACCCTCCACGCCCTCACCAGAGGGGAAAAAGGACAGTGGCACAGCTCTATGTCCAGAGTGTCCCCCAGCCTATCCTGTGGGCTTCTGCCCTGGGTAAGGGCTTGGCTACTTGGCCCCTCTGGAATAGACACTTTGTGCCCTCCACCCCGACCCCTCAACCTCAGCCCAGTATTAGCCCCTCCCATTGTGGGCCTGGGCTAGGGGGACCCAGGCACTTACCGCCTCCTCCCCGGTACACAGGCTTCTGCTGGGGCCACCAAGCCTCCCTGTGCCCCTTCCCATCCGTAGTGCATGGTGTGTGGTGCCCCCAGGGCTCCAGGACAGATCAGGCCCCACCTTGTGTCTACCCCCATCCCCGCTGTGAACGTGCCACTGAATAAAGTCGGGGAAATGAGGCCCGGGGTGTGTGTGTGGAGCAGGTGGTAGTGTGTCTGATGCTGTCAGGATGTTCCAGGCCACTCTGCTCGGGCCACTAATGCAGCTGGCAGCCAGTGGAGCCCCTGTGGGACCCTCACTGAATATGCAGAGCACCATGGGGACTATCTGAGCACCAAACTGAATAGCTGAGGCCACTGCTTTGTGTGAACCATCCTGAGTACAGAACCACAGGTGTTCCCATGTACAGGTATTTGGGCAAAACGCAGTGGTTAGAGGGCTGCTAAGGGCCTCAATGCAGGAAGCCTCACCACTGCCCCCATGTGGTGGGTGTGGTGACACCCCCCCATCCTCCCATCCAGCAGCATCGGAAGTGGGGAAGGAAAAGGAAGCAGCCCAGTCCAACTCAGCAGCTCTATTCACACAGCAGCAGCATCCCCACCCCACGTGGCCTCTCACGGCTTCTTGGCTTTCTTCACAGAAGAGGAGCTGGAGGCTGATTCCCGTCGCTTCCTCTGAGGAGACACAAGGTGCTGAGGTCAATGGCCCCCAAGGCCTGATTCAGGCTTGAGCTCATGGCACATGTGCCTCACATTCTCGGGGAAGGCAATGCCCACCAGCCACCCACTCCCACCCTCAGTCTCAGAACCCCTCGGAGTGCTGGTTCCTGAGGCAGACACAAGAGGGAGCAAAGCCTGAGTGTGCAGGTGCTCACACACAGGGCTGCTGGCACTCCCAGCCTGCCCAAGCTCTTACCGAGTTGGGCGTGAGGGGTGCGCCCACCACATCGATGATGGTGTCCTTGGTGGGGTCAGGGCCGAGACCAGGTTCAGATCCCACTGGTTCAGCAGAGGCCGGGGCTGGGCCCGAGGCTGGCACACTGGAGCCCCCCAGCCCGCCAGCCCGGGCCAGCGCCTCGTGTCGGTGCCGCAGCATCTGCAGCTCATACTCGCAGTTGGCGCAGGCCTGCTTGAGCTCATAGAGCAGCACCAGGTCACTCCGCAGCTCATTGAACATGTGCACCAGCTCCTCTGTGGGTGTCGGGCTTAGCTCTGCAGGCAGGTGGGTGAGCACACGGGCAGAGCTGGACTGTGGCGAAGGTCAACAGTAGGAATGGCTCCTCCCCTGCCCAGTCTCTGTCCATGGCCTGGTGGGGGTGGGGAGGCCACATCCTGTGGGGCCCAGCCCCCATACTCACCCACACCAAGTTCCAGCAGCATCTGTTCCAAGGCCTTGATCTTCTTCTGTCCCACAGAGCTAGGCAGCTTCATCTGCAATGACCCGGGTTGTTAAGCCCTCTCACCAACCAGTGGCTTAGGACAAGGGGAGTAAAGGCAGCGGGGGAGGGGAGAGAACCCCAGAGGCAGCTCTGGGTCAGAAAAGGTAACAGCAAGGGGAGATAAAAGCTGTGACCTCACCCTGGCTACATCCCCAAGAGCCTACTGAAGCCGCCACCCTCTGCAGCATACAGCAGACCTACTGCCCCAGCCCCACGGCCTGCAGTTTTTGGGCTGCAGGGAGCCCAGGGCCCAAACACACAGAGGGAGGTGACTCACCCTCTGGCTCCTCAGTGTGACACCTGCAGACTTGAAGTCCGGAAACTTGATGCCTGCAGTCTCAGGAACAGCCTGGTGGAGAAGGCCTTATGGAAACCAAGGTTCACAGGGCAACCCGCTAACTCAGAGCCCTCCCCTAGAGGTCCCCAATGCCAGACAACGCCCCCCAGCACCAGGCTGGGCTGACTTGGTCTGCATACCGGCTTCTCTGCCTCCTTTTTCTGGGGTAGCTTCTTCTTGGGGGCCTTGCGTTCCGTGCGCCGCTGCTCTGCAGTGGTGTCGGCCGCAGTTATCAGCTTCTGCAGGTCCTGACTGCGCTTCTCCCGCTCCTTCTTCCGGGCCTCGATCTTGCGCAGCTCCTGTAGCAGGTATTCCTCTTCCGCCACCTGGGAAGGTCAGAGGCTGAGAAGTATGGGGAATGTGGGGGAGTGAGGGCAGACAGGGCGCTGGGCTGTCTGAGGGAATCTGAGAAGGACGGGACCATGAGGGCGGTGAAGAGCAAGCAGGTGGCCAGAGAGAAGAAGTGCTGACTGGGACAGGCAGGGCCGGGGCCCGGGTACCACTGGGGGGCAGGGGGACCTGGAGGGCATGGAGAACTGAAGCAGTGAGCAGGGAATTCCAAGGCACTGAGGGGTTTATGGGCTGGGGACTGACCTGCTCTGGAGTCCGGTTGTACAGACGCTCCAGCTGTTCCTTCCGCCGTCGCTCGTGCCCAGCATCAAACACTGGTATCTTGAGGTCTGTGCCTGGCACAGCCCGCACATTGGCAAGCTTGGCACAGATGTGGTAGTACCGCTCCTTCAAGTCCTCCACAGAACGCTTCTGAGGATAAAGATGTGGGGGAAGGGAGGATGAACGCTCAAGGGCATGTGGAAGGGATCACCTGCAGGCAGTGGGCCTGCCAGGCCCAGAGGTTGTGCACACATGCAAATGCACGACACCAGCTCACCTTGAATTGCTGGTGGTCATACCGGTCATGGATAACTACAAAACGTAGGTCAAAGCGGCGGCTGAGGTCAAAGAGGTGGTCAGTTTCTGCCTTAGTCCAAGCATCATCATGAAGATAGAGCTGGTACTCCTGCTCTGAATACACGGGCACCTGCACAGTCTGTTGGCACAGAGGGACAGAGTGGGGGCATGCCCACATCACGTCATGTCCAGTGGGCTGCAGCCCCCCATGTGACCATAGCCCCTCCTCTTTACTGCCACCCCCTGGGATGGACAAAAGCAAATTCACTGCCCGGGGCCGAACACAGGGCAGCTGGAAATGTTTCCAAAGTGAGTAAAGAAACTGTCTTTGACCAGAGGCGCTGACTGACTCTAGGATTTCCACCTGCTTCTGGATTCACTCCAGGAGCAACTTCACCATTCCTTCACTTCCAGAGCCTTGGTTCCTACCCACATCAAATACTGATCTTCAAGGGCTGGTTCAAGTGAGGGCCCCATGTGTAAGCACTCCTGTGGAGTCCAACGGTCAACCTTGGAGAAGGGCAGACGGCTAAATACCAGAGAAAGACCCAGGAACCCCCAGTCCATGAACACTTGCCTGAACCACTCCTGCCACCCAGTGGTGACAGTGAGACCTGTAGCTCCTGCCGAGCTGACCAAAGTCACAGCTCTATAGAAAAGAGGCAAGAATCCTACTGGCAACATGCACACCTGTCCATGCCCCTGTCCCCCTCTGCCACACCTCGTCCCCCAGGCCAATGATGTACAGTGCCACCACCAGCTGGGTCTGTCAGACACCCCAGGAAGGGGTCAATGCTAGATGGGACAAAGGAAGCTTCTCTCCTCCATCAAAGACCACGTTGGCTCTGACCCTGCTCTCAAGACCCTTCTTCACAGCTGCCTCCTACATACAACTCAGACTCAGTATGTTCAGGTGACACATGTAACTAGACTTACTGTGGTGGTCATTTTGCAAAATATACAAATAACAAACTGTTTTCATGTACACCTGAAACTAACATAGTGTTGTATGTCAATTATCCCTCAATAAAATTTGTTTTTAAAAAACAGTATTTCAGGTCTGACCTCATTACTCTCCTTCAAACCTGTATCTCCTTCAGTCCAGATCTCAGTCCATGTCACCAGCACCCAAGTGCCCAAGCCAGAAATTGGAAAGGCATCTTTAGTTCCTACCTTTACCTTTGACCCCTCCCCTTCCCCAAGTCTGTGGCTTTTACCTCTGGAATCTCTATGTCCACTGTCACATCCCCGTTCAGACCACCACTACTGCTTGCCTGAATCAGGGAAGCAGCCTCCCAACTGGTCTCTCTGCCTCCATTCAATCGTCCTCCAAGCTTCTCCATATGCAGCCAAGTTGTGATCTGTCTGAACAGTACTACTTAAAGGACCGCCTGCAGACCGGTGCTGTTTTGCAAACTGGTATCACTAGTCTATGGTAAGTATGGAAATTGATAGTGGGAATTTGGAAATTCAATAATTTTACAGCAATCGTATGCTATTAAATCTGATAATGAAGAAACACGGACTTGCATTTTGTCTTTTCTTGTAATGTATCAGTCTCTGATGGATTGGAAATTTTTAAAAATAATGTCCTCCACCATGGATAATTTGAGAAGCACTGTTCTGGAATATCTGATCATGTCACCCAAATATCCCTCCTTCACCATGGATAATTTGAGAAGCACTGTTCTGGAATATCTGATCATGTCACCCAAATATCCCTTATCAAACCCTTTAAAGGATCCCCACTACTCTAAAATAAAAATGCCTTCTAGATAATTCACAAACTCAAGAGCAAGGGTTGTCTGGTTCATTTCACTGTCTGGCACACACTTCAGGGTTCACAGGGCCAGGCAATAGGTACCAATGAATATTTACTGAATCAGCCAATGAACACATGGGTGAATGACCTGGCCCCTCTCTGTAACCATTGTCCCTCATGGACCCTGAGTTCTAGTCAAATGACTAGCAGTTTCTGGAACATACTAGGCTTTGCCCTTCAGCCTTTGCTGCTGTTGCCTGAAATGCTTTCCCACTTACACACTCCTTCTACCTGGATAGCTTCTCATCCTTTTGATCTCTTTCACAGATCATTACCTCTGGGAAGTCTTTCTGGTGTCCCAGGCTTGGTTAAGAACCCTTCCTATGGATTTCAATTCCATTTAATTAAAAAAAAAAATTACTCAGGAACTGTGTAACCAGTCCTGCTCTAAAGGAGCTCATAGTCAAGCAAGGGAGACATTCATTCATTCAACAGATATTTATCATGGGTGTGCTAGACCCATGCTGGGAACACAGTGTTCAATAAGACAGACAGGAACCTTACCTTCTCAGAGCTCACAGTCCAACTGAAAAAATTAGTGCTGTGTGGCAAGTTTGGTAACAAAGGTATGCCTATGGTATAATGAGTGACACCTGATCTAGCCTAGGGACAAGTTGATGAAAGAAGAGGTAAATGAGGCCTGGTTCAGTCTTAAGGTTGAGTAGAAGTGAACTGGGGAGCAAAGACGGTGGAGAGAATCCTAGGCAGAGGGAGCAACACAGAGGAAGAAAGAGTGTGTGGGTGTGGCAGTTAGGGTTACGTTAGGGAAACTGGTGAGGGGCAAGACGTGAGGAAGAGGCATGGAAAGAGCTTGGTGGGTCAGCAGAGGTCAACTGCTGCAGGCCTTGTGTGCCCTGCGAAGGAGTCTGGAATGCATCCAGATTAGTAAGGTTAGTTTTAAAGAAGAGTGGAATAGTCATGATTCTCTCCTGCAAAGACCCTCCTGGCAGCAGTGAGGACAGACAGGGTGAAATAAGAGGCCGGGAGACACTTACAGGCAGGTTCTAGAAATAATCCAAGCGAGAAGTGAAGAGGCCTAAACTGCAGCAGCACCACGAGAGGGAGAGAAAGGGGCACACACTTGAGAGGTGTTAGAGCAAAACCACACAACTTGGCAACTGGACAAGTGGGATGAGGACAGACAGACAGATGACTCCTGGGTTTCTGGCTTGAGCCAGAGTATGGCTGAGGAACCACGGACTAAGAGTGGGACCCCAGGAATAAGCAGTATGGAGGAAAGATCATTGATTCACTTTACTCTGACTTCATTCTCCACCTGTAGTCACCATGACCTTTCTAAAACTGACACTATTCTACTTAAAACCTGCCAGTGGCTACCCAAAGACATCAGGACAAAGCCCAAATTCTTGAGCTTGGTCGCCAAGTCCTGCCTGACCTGGCCCCTGCTGACCTCTCAGGCCTCATCTCCCACCATGTCCTAACTGGCTTTATGCTTCATCCACAGGGGAATGCCTTCAGCATCCCATACATATAGCTGGTTTTTTTAATCTATGGCCTTTGCCCCTGGTGCCCCCTCTGCCTGAAAAAGTCACTACACACCTTTCCTGATAGTGCCTAGTAACATCCTTCAAGACTCAGCTCAAGGTCTAACTTCAGGAAGCTTCCATGGTCTTTAGGTCCTCCCAATATAGCATGTATCCACCAAACTAATTGCGCCCATGATAAATATCTGTTGAATGAATGTGACCCACTGCCCACACTCCCCATATGCTTCTTCCCAACAATATGGAGAGTTTCTTGAGGGCAGATAATGTCTGATTCATTTTTGTGTCCTCGGTGCCTAGGGCTGGACTGAGCATGGAGCAGAGTTTACTGAACACAAAATAAACTTTTTTGTCTGCACCTCAAACTGCCTCCTCCAACCTTCCCTCCCACTGCCTCAAGCACCTCATCTCTTGGTTGTCCCTTCTCACCTGCCTCTCCCTCCACTGGACCAGAGGAGCCTAAGGATGGTGGTGGGATGGAGGCAAACTAGGTTTGGTGCACAAAGGAGAACAATGGGTCACACCTGGACAGCTGAGTCTGGGGTGCCTGGGAGCCATCCAGTGGACGGTGTCCATGTGGGTGGTGCTGGATATCCTGCGCTGAGGGGAAAGAAGTTTGCACTTGGAGTCCTGGGTTCAGCCCTCCAGTGCTTTCACGCTTGAAGTCTAGGCTGCTCCAGGCTGCAAGGACTGTGAGGCCATACTGCATAGTGGCTTCAACAATGGCCTAGGAAAAGTGAGCTCAGCCCAGCTCTGCCTCTCACTGGCTAAGTCTGAGTAAGGCCCTGCTCCATCTGAACCACAGTAACAGAGACCAGAGATAATTCATCTTCGACTAGGGCATTAGCATAGAGGATGAACATAGGCAGACATGATTTATTACAGAAACAAAATCAACAGGATTCAATGATTAGATGCATCACTGAAATCTAGCTCAAATACTACCTTCTCAGACAGTCCCTCCCTGACCACCTTATCTAAATTAGTGAACCTACAAGTTCACTTTTTATTGCATTTCATATCCCATTCATATCTTTGTTCCATTTTAGTGATGGCTCTTATCTAAAAGAATCCAGTTCATTTGCTTACATATTTGGTATCGGTCATCTCCTACCTTCTTTGTCCCACTGTTGATTGAAAGAATGTGACAGCTAAGGAGAAGATTGAAAGAATGTGACAGCTAAGGAGAAGCTAAGTCAAGGATGATTCCCAAGTGTCTGGTTTCAGGAGCTGGGTGGAGAGTGGTGTCATTCACTGATATGGGGAACAGGTTTGTGGGTGAGGAATAGAGGGAAAATTATGAGTTCTGCAAAGAGTAGCTACTTGATCTGAAGTACCTACAGGGTCTTTGGGGAAAGACACGCAGTATATGACTAGACATGTGGGAACAGTTGCTCTGGCTTGGAGATATAAAGTTGGGGTCGCTGGCACACAGATCGTAACTCAGGCCACAGGGTAAATGAGACACTCCAGGGAGAAAGTATAAAGAGAAAAGAGAGGAGCACCTAGGGCACATTTGCAAATTTTAAAGAGCCACAAGAATCCCACCCTGCAGGTATTGGCCATGAGGACTGAGTGGGGAACCATGGTTGTGACAAAGGCCTGAGCGTGTCCCTGGAGCCAACCCTAGGAGACTGGAGAGTTCACACAAGTAGCTCAGAATGGGTAAGCCACCTTGACTTACATCCAAATGATGGTGGCTTACCTTATTGAACCTAGCGAAGGGGTAGTCCTTGCCCTCCTCAGCTGCTCGTCGCCAGTGGAAGAACATAGCACCATCCTTGCGGGCTGGGTTGGTGAATGGCATCCACTTCCAGGGCCGCACCTTCTTGGAGCCCAACTTGGCTTTCACTGTACGGTAGCCTTGACCAGTGTCACTGGGTAGCAGTGGGGGCGCATCCCTGGCAGCAGGGTTTAAGGAGGTGAGAGGTTAAGACTCAAAAGGTGTGGATAGAGCCTTTGGGCCCAGGTAGCTGATCGACCCTACAACAAGGAAGTCATCTCCTGGAACAAGAGATCTAAGTTCCTCCTGCACCCTACAAGCAAGCAGGAGCCCTGGCTGGGGACGGAGTCAGGGAAAGAATTGGCAGAGAAAACTAAGAGTTAAGGACCATGCAGGTGGATCAGGGACAGAGCCTGGGGGGCTTGTGATTCTAATACTTGCTTCTTGTCAGAGTAGAGCAGTGCATAGACCTCCCGGTGCATGCCCTCAGGCCTCTTGAAGGTCAGTGTCTCAGAGGACTTCTTGGACTTTTTCTGAGGAGGGAAACCATAGGAAAGGAACCACAGCCTAGACTGCCTTCCCTGAAAATTCTCTAGCCCAGCTCCATCCCTGAACCAGCACCTACAGGTACAAACACACATACACACTATGAAGGTACAGAAACCCACTCATAGGCGCACCCCCAGACTGAGCAGGTCATTCCCCTACACCGCCCCACTTCACCTGAGTAAAGCCCCAAACTGTAAGTAGAAGATACTTTTCCACTATCTCTCAGAATGTCACACCGACTTGGTAGCCCCACCCAATATCCTGCACGTGTCACACTCTCTTGGTCCTCTCATCTCTTACAAGTGTCACACCCCCTTGGTCCCCACCACTTCCCACGGCGTCCCACCTCCTGCGCCCCATCTCATCAAGGTGACACGTATACTCTCCCGTTATGTCACACCTTTTACCGCCCATCTCACGAAAAGTGCAGCACCCTACCACGCCCCCCCCCTTCCGCTGTCACTCCTCCCCACCACTTCAGTCCTGCTACCTAAGGCGCTCAAGCGCCTCTCATACCTTGTCCGGATTGATAATGTCCTTCTTGCTGATGGTCCCAGAGGCTGCATCCCCCTCTGGACCTCCGAGTTCTAGAATGTCCCGCACATCCGCGCCCGTAGCCATCACGCCTGGGAGATGGGGGAGCGCCCTGAGGTCAAGGGTCAGTGCCTGAGAAGGGACCGGGCTCGCTTCAGGGGAAGGAACCACTTCAGCCCCAAGTTGGGGTGGGGTGAAGAGGCGGGCCGCGAGGAGGAGGGTGGCCCAGATCAGGTCGGGGCTCCGCCTACGTCCCGCCGCTTGGGTCTCCCTTAACAGGCCCAATGCCTCCTAAGCCCCAGCGCCTCCGCAGCTGGGATCCCCGGCCATCGCCGCAGCGATCCCCTATCTCTGAAGGGCCGCGGACAGAAACTTCCGGTCGTGCTCATTAAAAACTCGGCCGACAGGAATACTTCCGTCCTGTGCTTAGCGTAAATGGAACCGACTGGCAACCCAGTGTGAAAGCTACTGGCCGCCTGGAGCGTGTCACCGTCCTTGGCTCCCACGAGCCCGCAGATGTTCATGTGCTGCCTGCTTTCTGGCATCATTTTCCCTCACCGTTGCTCCGTTGAATTTCGGGCAATTAAAAGAGAGTGCAGAGCTTTGTGACCTTGGAAGTCGCTTAATTTCTCTGAACCCGTAAAATGAAAATTGTGATGGTACCTGCTCAAATGAAGTATCGATAATCCATGTAAAACATTAGCACAGTGAGAGAAACATTTAATTTTTTTATTAAATGAATTAGTGGTATCAATTGTCCCTGCTTATTAAATGCTGAGTATGTGCCAGGCACTGCGGTAAGCATTGGAGATGAAGAGATGCACTAGATAAGGGGAAGCTTCCTAGGGTGGCTGCCAAGATGAAGTGAGGTCAGGACCCTCACTGGCACCTCCTCTGAGGGAAGTTTCTGTGGGCCAGGGCCTCAAGGAGCTTTTCCTGGAGCTCAGCTTTCTGGAACTTCACTAGTCCAGGAGTTTACTGCTCTAGTGTGTGTTACAAAGAGGCCCAAGGACACAACCCAAAGAGGGAGCAGCTGGAAGAAGTATCCCTCAAGGGAAGAAACTTGCTGATCTCCCTGGAGAAAAAGACTTCTAGAACAGGAGATCCTGAGGAAGGACAGAAAGGACAGGGGAAGCAGCTCCCAACTTCAGCCTCTGCAAACCAGCCTGCAAACAAGGAGGGCTATTTGAAAATGGGAGATGGAGTGGGGCTTGTTAAAGGCATTAGGAGACCAGACCCAAAACTAGGGCTTGCCAAAGATCCAAGCAGAGACTGGAAGGGAAGACAGTCTGCACAAGTTAGCCATCAATGTTGTAGCCTGTTCTGGCTTGGAGGGGACATGAACACAGCAGCTGCAGCCACAAGCCTAGCTAGATCCTAAGACCCTAGAAAACTGGGCCTGGAGGTACAAACCTTGTCCTGTTTCTGGAGCCTGATTCCTGGGTGAATTCTTTGAGCTCTAAACAATTTCTAGGGGAAGCCAGGGTTTTGCTGCAGAAATTTCCCTCGGGGTAAAGGAATAGTCCTTGGAGCCAGAAGTGGACAGAGCAATGAGAGGGTCCAGCATCTCTGCCTCAAACATTTGACTCTACTTACAGTTAAGTAATTGTATAATTAGTTGTTTAATATATATCTCCCATTGATAGACTCATTGCTGTGGGGACATGAATCACGGTACATAAACGTGTGTGCTAGGCATTGTTCTAGGCTCCAGTTGAATGAGATACAAGCTACCTCCTAGTGAGTCTTATATCTACTGGAGTAGGAGAAACAATGAGCATATAAACAATAAAATAAATAGTAGTGTAAGTTTTGATGGTAATGAGCTATGAAAAAAATAAAGTAGGATGATAGGATTGGGGACTGTGTAGTGTGGTCAAGGAAGTATTCTCTGGGGAACGGAGATGCAAGCTGAGGTTTCAATGATGGCAACAGCCACAGAACACTGGGGAAGTAACATTTCAGACTGGAAGAATAACAAGTGCAAAGTTCCTTAAATGGAAAGAGCTCCATACATTGAAGGAACATAAGGAAAAAGTCCAGCATGGTGGGTGCTGAGTGAGAAGGTGGAAAATAGGAAGACTGGGGATCAGAGGTAGGCACTGGGGGTCATGGTAAGCTTGTCTTTTACCCTGGCAGTCATGTGTGAGCCAGCCTTGGCCACAGGCTGGATTCTATCCCCATCCTTGAAGTGCCATCTTAGCTGCCGTCACTGGGAAATTCCCCAGGGTGACTGGTCCAGGGCTTCTCATCCTTTGGCGAAACTGAGTTCAGGGATTGGGGAAAAGAGAATGAGAGAGGAATGAGTCTTTCTTGCCCCTTCTGGGGAGCCACTGCCCACACTCCTCATGCCAGACTGCAGGTGGCAGAGGGTCCCACTGCCAGACCTGAGAGGAGCTTGGTGTGCAGTGCTCAGCCCACGGAGTCTCCATGGGAACCCAGCATCACTTCTGAAGAGACTTCCACACTGCAGTGACTACTAAGGGGCCAGCACAAGAAACTTCAGGCTGGGGCACTCTGGGGCTGCAGAGCCAACTTCAAAGGAATTTTTACCTAATCCTGAGAGCAATATGAAGCCTCAGAGGGTGCATGGTGGTGGGTGTGGGGTGGAGAGTTGAGAAAAAGCCTGGAGAATCAGATTCATCGTTTAGAAAGATCACTGGTGGCCTGCTGGTGGGGAGGGCAGAGCTAGAGGCAGGAGAACCAGGTGAAAGGCAGTGGTCAGCTGGAAGCAGGAACTGGTTGGACGTGGATGTGGGAAGCAGAACAAAAAAGGTCCCCAGAAGTCCATCCCTCCTCAGCCTGTCTATTCACAGCGGGGTCTGGATGTAGTAGACCAGAGCTCCTGAGTACCTGGCCTGGCTCTTCCCTTCCTTTCCTCCCCTCCCTTCTCCCTCCTCGCCCTTCTCCTACCTCCTTACCGAGACCATGCACATCCACTAGACAATCCTAGCATGAGGTGTGCACATGCTCTGCTTGCAGGGGCTTCTCAGAAACTGCAGCAAAGAGGCACAGTCTGCACCTGGTGTGAGCGAGATCCAGAGCATCTCAGTCTGACCTGGTTCTCCTCAGGTTAATCACAGAGAACACTTTCTACTAAGGACAAATTTCCCCCTTTTTTAAATAGGCAAAAAAATGATTAGGAAAGTCACAAAACTGCAGTAGTCAATAATATACCAGTAAGCACTCAGCCTCACTGACATTCAAAGAAATGAAAAACTGAAAACTGTAATGAGATACCATTTTTTGCCTATCAGCTAGGTAAAACTTCAAATAATTGTGATACTTATGATGAGCGACTTCTTCCTGAACGCATCTCCTCAAGCAAGGGAAACAAAAGCAAAAATGAACTCATGGGACTACATCAAACTAAAAAGTTTTTGTACGGCAAAGGACACCATCAACAGAACAAAAAGGCATCCTACAGTATGGGAGAATATATTTGTAAATGACATATCTGACAAGGGTTAACATCCAAAATATATAAAGGACTCACATGCCTCAACACCCAAAAAGCAAATAACCCAATTAACAAATGGGCAGAGGATATGAAGAGACAATTCTCCGAGGAAGAACTTCAGATGGCCAACAGACACATGAAAAGATGCTCCACATCACTAATCATCAGGGAAATGCAAATTAAAACCACAAGGAGATATCACCTCACACCAGTAAGGATGGCCAGCATCGAAAAGATGAAGAACAACAAATGCCAGCGAGGATGTGGAGAAAGGGGAACCCTCCTACACTGCTGGTGGAAATGTAAGCTAGTGAGACCATTGTGGAAAGCAGTATGGAGGTTCCTCAAAAAACTAAAAATAGAAATACCATTTAACCCCGGAATCCCACTCCTTGGAATCTACCCAAAGAATACAACTTCTCAGATTCAAAAGACATATGCACCCCTATGTTTATTGCAGCACTTTTTACAATAGCCAAGATATGGAAGCAACCTAAGTGTCCATCTGTAGATGAATGGATAAAGAAGAGGTGGTACATATACATAATGGAATACTATTCAGCCATAAGAAAGAAACAAATCCTACCATTTGCAACAACATGGACAGAGCAGGAGGACATTATGCTCAGTGAAATAAGCCAGGTGGAGAAAGACAAGTGCCAAATGATTTCCCTCATTTGTGGAGTATAACAATGAAGCAAAACTGAAGGAACAAAATAGCAGCAGACTCAGAGACTCCAAGAATAAACTAGTGGTTACCAAAGGGGAGGAGTGTGGGAGGGTGGGTGGCGAGAGAGGGAGAAGGGGACTGAGGGGTATTATGTTTAGTACACATGGTGTGGGGAATCACGGGGAGAACTGTGTAGCATAGAGAAGGCACATAGTGGATTTGTGGCATCTCGCTGCCTGATGGACAGTGACTGCATTGGGGTATGAGTGGGGACTTGATAATATGGGTAAATGTAGTAACTACATTGTTTTTTCATGTGAAACCTCCTTAAGAGTGTATATCAATAATACCTTAATAAAAAAAAAGACAATGTGATGGTGATGATGATATGACAACTATAACCAGTTGTGATCTAGCCTTGATGCATGTAACATACACACTTGTCTTGAATCCATGGTACTAAAATTAAACAAGCATGTTGGGTACTTTCAAGTTGTTTCAGAAAACTTAAGCAGTATTTAATGAGTAAAGATAGTGGCCCTGCTTTTTAATTAAGATGTTGGATTAGTATGGGTTTTTCATCTGCCTTTAAGTAAAAAAAATAGCACTGTCATTTGTCAAGAAAGAAAGAAAAAATGGAAAGCCACCCAATACATTTTATTGACTGTCATTTCCTGAAAACAAAGCCAGACAAGGACAGCAAGAGAAATAACATGTACATGATCCCACATATGAACAAGAAAGCAAAAATCCTAAATAAAATGTTAACAAATTGAATTCAGCAGTGTATTAAAAGAATAATTCATCAAGCCTAAGAGGATTTATCTCAGCATTGCTAAGATGGTTCAGCATTAAAATATGTATCAATTTAACTTATAATATCAATAAATTAAAAACATGATTATCTTAATAAATTCAATACCTATTAATGATATAAAAGAAAAAAATCTCCTCGTAAACTAGAAAACAGCCTTCATTTGACACATTGTTTGTTTTTAATGAAACAATGATAACAACCTATAGCAGGTGCCATACTTAAAGGTGAGCCACAGACACACGCCAAGTGAAGTCAGAAACAAGGTGAGAATGACCTTTATCACCTTTACTATTCAAAATGGTGTCAGGTAGCCTCTCTAATACAAGAAGAGAAGGAAAACAATAAGAGGTAGGAACATTAGAAAAGAAGAGGCAAATTGTGATTATTTGCAGATGACACTATTGTTCACATAGAGAAACCTAAGAAATCAATTGAC